TGTTAGAGATTCCTCCCTAAATCTGATCTCATTAGCAAGTGATCATCTGACTTGGGCACTTTCCCTCTTCTCATTCCCCAAGCAACTCTGCACCTTGGAAAGGCTTAATCAAAATTCAACTTAATCAAAAAAAAAAAAAAAAGCATTGTAATTACGATTCACTTTCTCTAACTCCCCTGACCTTTCTCCCTCTCCCCAATCTTGGTGGGTGTGTGGGGAGTACCCAGGCTGAACTGGGACGGCTTCCTTTCCAAAACCTGTGGCATCCAATCCAGGAAGTTGTCCTTGGCAAAATGGGAATGAGTATTATTTCCGTTTAACTGGGTGCGATTTTCTTCTCAGATGAGGGGCAACTGGATCTCGGAAAGAAGGCAAATGTGATTTAGTAGCCTGGTTGTAGGCCCTCTAAGTGTTCCCCCTTCGTGTGGGTTGGTTGGATTCACCCTATATAGCAAATGCACTTAGGACAGTAGTGATGGAAGATGCTACACAAAAGATGGCTGGGGGGAGGTCCAGGCACCTTTTGTGATGATAACAGTGGCGCAGCTTGGAGCCCGGACTTTCCTCCTGGGCAGCCCCTCCCCCCCCATCCGTCACTACTGGGGGGTGGGCGTGTGGAAACTCATCTTGCTTTGATCTACACCTTTCCTCACCATTGTTTTCTACTTTTCCCTCCCCGGAAAAAAGAATGGAAGAAGGCAGCAGACAGACTTTCACAGTCAATACTGAAATATACCATACCCTTTCAGGCCTGCCTCTCCTTTGTTTGGGGCAAAGAAGAAGTGGGGAGCGGTGCTAAGAGTGTAGAGGGCTGGTTTTGGTTAGATCACAAAATCCCTTTCCCTGGCAGATCAGCGGGGAATGGGATCCATTCCCTTTAGATTTCTACTCCAATAAACAGCTTGATTTTTATGGAGTTATATCCCCTATAAAACATATAGTGGTTCTCCTTAAGGGTCATAAACCTCAAACGCATCATATTGAATAGCATGTGCAAAAATGCATATCATATATCCACATACACAAACAAGATACACACACACACACACACACACACACACACACTTGCTGCAATCAAATATATGAATATTGTATATTGCATGCATCTCATAATTTGTATTAAATAATAGTTGTTATAGTTCTGAAATATTGTATCTTTTAAAGTCAAGAAGCATTTAGCCAGCCTCCGTTTGAATAATCAAACAAACCAAAAGAAAACAACTGCAACATCTATTTCCTTATAATATAAACTCACCTGATCCCTTTGAAATGTATTTCTCAGTAGGCATTCATAGGATTGTGCTAAAAGAAAAGGAATCCCTTAAAATGGATTGTTTGCTTTTAAGTGTAAACACATACATACCACAATCCATTCTAGAAGAGATTCCTAGAATTTGTTTTTATCTTCAGTCTTCTCTGAAATGTTCGAGAAATTCTAACAAAGTTAGTTCTTTTTGTATTCACTCTGAGATCCAGTTGATTTCTTCCTGTCCTGATCTGGATGGTTTTATATCTCCTCTATCTTTTTATCCATTGTGTTAAAGCAAAATTCTGATCTTCCAGAAATGGACTGATTTTAATTTCCCTCAACAGCTTCTAGCCTCACCCTGAGATGAGACTTGAAGCCCAGACCAAGTAATTCATATTGACTTTTCCTCCCCCTTTTGCATGTTCTGCCCTACCAGGCAAAATATCCCAAAGCTATGAATCTCTCCCATCATCAGTGAAAAATAATACTTTCTATTCCATTGGGGCTTGTTATGTGCAACTATTTAAAACATACATTAGCCATTATTTGTTATAACAAAAAGAAAACATGTCCATTGTTTTCCAAAACCTTCTACAAGAGATTAAGTGCCAAAGGCAATGTATTGTTATAATTTCCCCATTGTTTTAATATTAATATTACAATGACTACATCACCGTTATGTACTGTATATCATCTAAAAAGTGTGCCAGGGCTGAAGATTTTCTGTGGTAAGAGGAAATATGATTTCCCCATATTTAAACTGATTGCATAGATATAAAAATTGTGGTACTACAGTGTTTAAGAAATGTACTCAAATAGAAAATGTACACAGTATATATGAAAGGAGAGAGAAAGAAAAAAATAGATCAGGGGATCTATTCACTCCCACTCCTTAAATCTCCGGAGGTGCAGATCAAATTTTGGGATCATCTCAATCCCTCATTTTCAGACTATTTGGCTAAAGTGGGATGGGATCTTGACTAACGGGACTTCAATTTCCCCCTGGTTGCAAAACCCTTTTCACTGCATTATTCATTATTACAATATTGTAATTTATTACAATATTAATTATTATAAGTCAAGAGTTCAGCAAACAGAGCGCGTGGAAACAAAAATAATCACACAACTCTTGGGGGAGGGTTGTCACTCTGTTTTGAGAAACCTTTAATGTCTTCTTGAGTGAAAAATGTAGACCCAACTGTTTTAAATCCGGAATTATCTCCTGGAGGGAGGCGGCCGCCTACTATCACTCGAAACGCGGTTGCAATCGCCTTTCACCCTCCTTTCCAAAAGCGCGGGGCCCCCTCCGTAATTCAACGGAGTGGAAAACAGTTTCCATTTCGACCTTCTTCTTAGAAGCCGAAATCGCCCCCCCACTCTTCCCAGGCGATGCATACCGACCCCCCCCCCCCCCCCCCCCCCCACAGCAAAAAAAACCAGGCGGGAAGTGATGTGGGGTTGCGATGCGGGGAGCCGGCGCTTTGCTCAGACGGACCTTGGGGCACGCTGTGTCGGCCCTTCCTCAGTTTCGGCCGCCGGTCCCCCGGCGAGGTTGCACCAGCGGCGCTTTGAGGCCTGGCTTTATTGGCCCAGTCGAGCCAAGCTCGGCCTGAACCGACAGAGCCTCCCGAGCGGGGCTCTCTGATCTTGGCTGGGCAGAGGGGCAGAAACCAAGAGGGGAAAAGAAACACTGCAAGAGAATCCGGGGGACCCCGAAACGAGAAAAGTGTCTCGGGGCTGCGGTGGGGGAGTTAGCCGGGGGCCGCGATTCCTTCCTTTCCTCCCGGAAAACCTCTGCTTAAACCGGCCTTAGAGGGAAGTAACAAGAAAAAAAGACGGCAAAGCTTCCGGATTGGATTTGGAGGCCACTCTCCAAAGGATCTCAGTCGGTTTTTCTTGTTTAAAAAGAGAAAGATTTTAGACTGAACAGTCCAAGGCAAAGAGAGAGAGAAAGCATAAAATGGACACTATGTTCAAATTGCTGGATCAGCAGGTTGAGAAAGAAAGTTCTAGCAAGGTTTTCCAAGTGTCCCCCATTCCTGATTTTATTTGGTCTTCTTAGCTTCTTCCTGTGAACTGAAATGGCTTTTTGGTGCCAGGTCTCTAAGTGACAATAGCGAAATGAAATATTTTATATTCTTTAACATCAGCTGGAGTAAGAACCTGATATACCACCTGATAGGCAAATCACCCTTTAAGAAAAAAAGAGAGAGTCCTTTTGTTATGAGTGGTGTGGATATTCCCAGCCAGAATGATTACAAAGAAATGAAGATTTTATAACCATTGAGATGAATGGGGAAGCACCACCAATCATTTTATTTCATCATTATTACTACTACTATTATATGTAGAAAACATCTTTCATATGGTATTTATTTCTGGGCAACCTGAACAATATTTGGGGCAGGATTTACCAATCCAAGCATCTGTAAGAATAAACAAACAGAATAGGAATTATTACACAGTTAAGCAAATTCATTTTGCTTCAAGATTAAAGAAAATGACGACTCCAAGGCAAACCTAGAAAATTGGATGTCATCCCCAAAAAGAATGATGTGCTTCCAGATTCCTAGTTCAAAGCTAAAATTTCAATTTCTCATCTGTGTTGTCATCTAATTGGAGTTCCTGCACTGGAGTTCCTGTCAAATATAGCTTGTTAAACTAATCAAATTCACAGGTTGCCAGTTTAAAGGTGATTTTAAGATGACCATCTTCATACAAAAGACATTGTATTTGGCTAACATATTTATCCATATATGTACAGTAATTAAAGTTGTCATTCTTTATTTGGAAAATCAGAACTTGGATGCAAAGAAATAGAAATGTATACAAATACTAATGGGACCTGGGGGAAAAAATCTTTCTGAATCTCTTAGGTCTTCATTCTACAATGAAAAAAAGTGTTAATGTAGATTTGTATCATTTTGAATAATTGTACCAGTTATTTGATATATTCTACACCGCAAATATAATTTAGCAGGATTGTGCTCAAGCCCTGTTGAAATGAATTGTCAAGTTTCCATGTGCAACTCATTTCAGTAGAAGATCTTATGCCTCAAGGATATCTTGTAAATGAGCTAACATGCACTTAAGTCTGTTTCCTTACACTCAGAATTGCTTAAGAGTGCTTATTTGTTAGGACAGCATTGTGTATATCATCCATGCTGAAAGCTGATTTCTTAAGTACATTTTCAAGGATAAATTGCTTTTAATTCTAAGCTCTGATCATAACAGGCCCAGTTACAATATACACCCACAAATCAAAGTGCAACCCACCCTCCAACACACTGGTTGGTGTGGATGTGTTTGGTTTGGTGGCCATAAATCCTGCAGCTGCTTGTTTTTTACAAGCACTCATTGTTTGAAAATCACTTCCTCTTTGAGCACGACATTTAAGGGTTTAGTAAATTTAATCTGGTAAAAAAGAGGGGAATCCTTCCATAACTTGTTGGAGTGGGAGGTGGTAAAAATAATTAGCAGCTGAGTTTTGGAAACTGAGAGGAAAGATCTAAATTTAGAATTTGATTATATTCTAAAGAATATTTCCTCCTTTTCCCAGTGTGTTCAGAAACTCTTCATTTTATTTATTTAGTTTAG